CGGGGGCGGCACCAGCGAGCAGCACGGCTGGCGGGACACAACGGGGGCAGCAAGACGCACGCCACCAGCAGCTGCATGAGATCTTTCCCCCGGGCCCCTCCAGCCTGTCACATGAACCGCCGCACCAGGCAGGAGCACAACCTATCATCGCTCTGGTCCCCTCCAGCCTGCCAGTGGAACCGAAGACACCTGGTTGGTGCACATACTTCTGTGGCAGCACCCACCTGGGGGGTGGACGCTCCAGCCAGGACGCTCCAAACCTCTGCGGCAGCGCCCGCCCGGGGGGGGCGGGCGCTCCAGCCAGGGAAAGAAGAGGGGAGAGTCCACCTGGGAGGGAGGACGCTCCAGCTGGGGCCGGGGAAAGAGGGCGCACCACTGGGGAGGATAGCACGCGGGAGGAGGCACTCCTCCTTCTCCTCCTCCTCCTCCTCCTCCTCCTCCTCCTCCTCCTCCTCCTCCTCCTCCTCCTCCTCCTCCTCCTCCTCCTCCTCCTCCTCCTCCTCCTCCTCCTCCTCCTCTCCTCCTCTCCTCTCTTCCTCTTCCTCTTCCTCCTCCTCCACGAACGGATAGTGCAAGAAGTAGGCCGACCTGGGGGGGGATAGGCCCAGCGCCGCGCACTACTCGTCCTGAAAGTGCGCAAGAGCTCCATATGCAGGGAGGGCGGGTGGCTTACCACCTCGGCTCTCAGATTAGCGCCGCGCATACTCGTCTGAAGAAATGCCAGAGTTTCATGGGAGGCACCAGGACACACTAATACTGTATGTCCTCCTTGGAGGCGTGTGTCCGACCCGAACATATAGTATACCCGTCTTGTAGTAGATCGTTTCCCGAGCGGTGTGGCCAAAGAGCGCCCGCCACCACGCATATATTATAAGACTTCACGGTGCGAGCGTCGCCCCTGGGGGGCGACGCACCTATAGCATAAGCATGTTGGAGTGACGCCGATTTCACGGACTGAAGACGGGCCGTTTCGAAAGTGTGGCCGAGGCCTCAGCACCGCGCACACTCGTCAGCAGAGTCTGCTGAGAGCTGCACGGATGGACGGGGCTCCTTCTCTGAATGTGACTGTCGCCATTGCGCGGCGCGCATTCGTCGTGTATGTTCCAAACGTGGCTATCGCCTCAGAGCCTCGCAGATTCGTCTTAGACGTCTGCTACATATTCATTGAAGGAAAAGGTGCTTCCAAAATGTGGCTCTCGCCTTAGCGCTGCGCATATGCATTTCCAAGGTTTGCAAAAAGGTTCACGGACTGAGGGCCGTCATTGTTCAAAATGTTGCTATTGCATCTGCGCCGCGCACACTCGTCGCAAAAGCTCGCAATAGTGTTCAAAATGTGGTTTTCGCCTGAGCGCTACGCGTTATCATCTTAAGAGTCTTGGACAAGTGTCCCTGGGCCGTGTTCAAGATGTGGCTCTAGTCATAGCGGTGCGCACATTCGTCTTAAAGGTGTGCACGAGGTTCAAGGGTGGAGGAGAGCTCCCTTTCAAAATGCGACTCTCGCCTGAACACCGCGCACATTCGCCCTAAAAGTCTGCAATGAATTCACAGATGGAGGGCGGGCCGCTTTCAAAAGTCGGTTATAATGTTCAACTCGGCGCACATTCGTCTTAAGGATTTGCAATACCTCGACAGATGGGAAACGACTCTTTTCCAAAATGCGGCGCGCACACTCGTCTTAAAAGATGTCAAGAATTTCGCTGAGTCTTGCGACTGACGTTCCAGCGTTCCGGTACGATTTAGGACTGTCAGGGCGCAGCTGTCAAAGTATTCGCATTTCCAAAATCCGAGGAATGGTGTTTTGGCACGCTGCAGGATCGTCAGGACGCAACAGTAAAAATGAGTGGCACGATTGAAGATTCCAACATTGTCTTCCAACGAGGCACTTCCAGCAGTGAAAACACTGTCCTCTAGAGACACATGAGTGGAGGAACATGGAGAGAGGGATAATCGCAGCATCGTTGGTGCTTCCTGGGTTCACACTGGTCGCCCCCCTCCTCTTCCGCCTTCTCGAGCCTCGACGTCCTTTCCCCCCCCCTCTTGCCCATGGCCTGGACTGAACGCGCCTGCCCCCAGTTCCGCCAGGCTAGGGTCGGCGGCGAGCGAGGGAGGGGAAGTGCGAAGGGCCACGCCTTTTCAGAAGGCTCGGAAGTCCCCTGGCCTTCTGGGAGGTTTTCCAAGCCTTCCCCGAAGGTACAGAAGACCTCTCAGAAGGCGCGAGCTCTTCTGAGCAGCCCCACCGCCTCCTGACGAGGCCTTCTCCTTCTCACTTCCCCCCCTCGCTCGCCGCGGATAGGGAAGGGGGGAGCGGGTGGACAGGGGAGGGGAAGGGAGCCACCTGGACACGTCCCGGGGACCTCTGACCGTGACCCCCATCCCGGGAAGCCCATCGCATCGACGGTGGTTCATGGCCACCGCAAGGGCACGCACTGCGGCCCACCAGCTGTGCATGCCCAGGGGGGACGGGCTCATCGGACTGCTTCGGGCCCACCCCAACAGGAGCCTTCTCGGACTGGCTCGACCACCACACCTCGGGGCACTTGTGCAGCCGGTGGAACGCATTGCGGAGCACCATCATCTGCGAGTCGCCCACCTCGGCATGCCCGTCTAGCTGCAAACCATTTTTCCACCCGCACCTTGAAGGCATCAATACGGCGCGATGCTTGCGCCATAACGCGCTCATCAGCGCTCACACGCGCGCGCGATGCAAACCAGGAAGCGACCCCCTTGACGTTGAAAGCTGCATGGTCAACTGTGCAACTCGCAGTTCGAAGGCCCCAACATGAGATTGCACGCTGCGCCACGATGCGCGGCCCATTTCACGCGCGCGCGCGATATTCAAACGTCAATCGGGAATGCAAAACTTCGCCTCGGAAACTGAACGGTGACAAACGTTTGTGTCACTTTGATTGTGAAGGTTCCACGTGAAATGATGCAGCGCGGCACCCCGCGCGTTACCTGTTGCTCGCGCGCGCGCCCTCGCGCGCGCGCGATAGAAACCACATCAAGACTGGCGATCCCGACGTAGAAAGCTGAGTGCTGAAACAAATTGCGCCTCTCGCATATTGAGGGATTCAACATGGCAACATGCATCGTCACAGCACACGCCCCTCATTTCCCCGCGCGCGCGTCTCCGCGCGCGCACGCTGCAGATGCAAATCGAAAAAAAGCCGGCGTTCCTGCCGAAACCTGACAGGCGACTAAACTCACTGTTCAACTCGCATTTTGCAAGCCCCAACGGAAAGAATGCACTGCGACGCAGAGCTCTCCTCATTGCCCCCACGCGCCAGCGATGCAAAAACAAAAAAAAGCCTGGCGAAAGGGACCAACCATGCGCAGATGCGAGCGTCGCCGTTGTGGGCACCGCCATCGGTGCATCTCTTCATGGGGCCACCAAGCGCGCAAAAGGGCGCGCCGAAATGGGGAGGGGACGCACGTGGGCGCAGCCATTGGGGCCTTCGGATGCGCTCCACATGAGACCACGAAGCGCGCGAGGGGCGTGCCGAAATGGAGCGGGCCCGCCATGCGCACGTCGCCACCGGGGCCTTCAGTGGAGCTCCCCGCGGGCCACGAAGCGCTGCACGGAGCGGGGGAAACGCGCGCGAACGCCGCCACGGGGGCCCCCGGCGAAGCTCCCGACGGGGCCACGAAGCGCTGCACTGGGAAGGGGAGACACACGCGAACGCCGCCACCGGGGCCTCCGGTGGAGCTCCCAACGGGGCCACGAAGCCCTGCACTAAGACGGCGAGACACATGCGAACACCGCCACTGGGGCCTTCGGTGGAGCTCCCTATGGGGCCACGAAGCGCTGTGCTCACTGGGGGAGACGCATGCAAACACCGTCACTGGGCCCTTCGGTGGAGCCCCCTATGGGGCCACGAAGCGCTGTACTGGGTGGTGGAGAAGCACGCGAACACCGCCGCTGGGGCCTTCGGTGGAGCTCCCTATGGGGCCACGAAACCCTGCACTGGGCGGGAGACGTGCAACTGTTCTGAGTTGGGAAAAGCATGCGAACACCGCCGCTGGGGCCTTCGGCGGGGCCCCCTCATGGGGCCACGACACGCTCTACTGGGCGGGGGAAACGCATGCGAACACCGCCACTGAAGACTTCGGCAGAGAGCCCCCCATGGGGCCACGAAACGCGCGAGGGGCGCGCAAAAAGTGGAGGGCGGGGGGCGGCATGAGAACCACGCCACTGGAGCCTTCACTGGAGCTCCCCATGGGCCCGCGAAACGCGTGAGGGGCGCGCCAAGAGTAGAGGAGGGGGCGGCGTGCGAACCGCGCGGAGCCCCCTATGGGGCCACGAACCGCGCGAGCGGCATGCCAAAATCAAAGGGGGGGGGGGCGGCACGCGAGCCACGCCACTGGGACCTTCGGCGGAGCTCCGCATAGGACCACGACAGGCGCGAGGGGCGCGCCCGAATGGAGAGGGGGCGGCATGCGAACCATGCCACTGGAGCCTTCGGCGGAGCCCCCTTATGGGGCCACGAAACGCACGAGCGGCGTGCCAAAACCAAAGGGGGGGGGAACGGCATGCGAGCCACGCCGCCGGGACCTTCGGCGGAGCTCCGCACGGGGCCACGACAGGCGCGAGGGGCGCGCCCGAATGGAGAGGGGGCGACAGGCAAAGCACGCGAGCCTCCGGCGGAGCCCCCTGCGGCGCCACAGAGCGCGCGACGGGCGTGCCAAAGTCCAGGGGGGCGGCATGCGAAACCTGCCACTGGGGCCCTCGGTGGAGGAGGAGGAGGAGGAGGAGGAGGAGGAGGAGGCGGAGGCGGAGGCGGAGGCGGAGGAGGAGGAGGAGGAGGAGGAGGAGGAGGAGAGCTCCCAGTGGGGCCGTGAGACGCCTACGGGGCGCGCCAGAGGGAGGGAGGCGACGAGGGGGCGAACTGGTCGACGCGCGGAGACCAAAAGGCACGGGCGGGAGGAGGGAGGCGCGGGGGGAGGATGAGAGGAGAGGAGGCGCGGGACACTGCCTCTTCACAACGAGGACCCAACACCACAGGATGGGTGGTGGGCGTATTTTCCACCACCACTACCATAAGTGGGAGGGGGAGGGGGTCCTCCTCCTCCTCCTCCTCCTCGTCCTCCTCCTTATCCTCTACCTCCTTCCTCCCTCCAACTTATGGTGGTGGTGGTGGAAAACAGGCCCATGAGATGGGTGGGAATAACGAGTGGCCATCTCAATGTCGAGAAACACACATCGACGAGTACCCGCCTGCATCCGGAACCCCGGCAAACGCTCGAGACGAGCGTGCGCCGCGCCACCGGCAGGGCGCACGTTGAAAATGAGCCGCCCCCCCATCCGAGAAGCCCCGGCAAACTTCGCAAGAGGATGCGCGCAACAAGGCGACGGGCGCAGATCGGTAGGAGCCCGCCCTCAATCGGGGAAAACCCGCGCAAGCCTGGGCAACCAACGCGCGCGGCGCCAAGGCAAGAGCCACGCGCTGGAAAGGGCCCGCCCCCCATCCGCGACGCCCGGGCAAGCGCCCAACATGGGCGCGCGCGGAGCTCGCGCGAGGAGCACGCTCCGAAAAGAAAAGCCGTTCCATCCGCGAAACGCGCGCATCCCCGCACAGGGGGCGCGCGCGGCGCCACGGCGAGAGACGCGCCTTGAAAAGGACTCGCCTCCATCCGCGAGGCTCTCGCAAAACTCCGAGGACGCGCGCGGTCGGCGCCATGGCGAGAGGCGCATCTTGAAAAGAGCCCGCCCCACATCCGCGAAGCTCTCGCAGGCTTGCCCAGCGACTGCACGCGGCGCCAGGACGAGAGCCACGTCCTGAAAAAGCGCCGCCCTCAATCGGCGAAGCTGCGTCAAGCTTGCAACGCGAGCGCGCGAGGCGCTGAGGCGCGAAGCGCATTCTGAAGCAGGCCCGCCCACCATCCGCGAAGCTCCCGCCAACCTTAAAAACGGATGCGCGCGGCGCTAAAGCGAGGACCACATCATGCGAAGGCCCCGCCCTCCATCCCCGAAGCTGCCGCTCACTTTGAAGACGAATGAGCGCGTTCGGACGCGCCCCGGGCGGCGGGATCGCTGGCGCTGTCTTGATGCCCCTTGTCGCACATCTGCTTCAGCTGTGGCGTCGCCCCCGCCACCGCCCCCTTCGTTGTCTGACCTGGAGGGTGCTCGCCGCGGCGGATACCAGAATGACGGGGGCAATTCTCGCCACCAGATCTTAAATTACAAAAAGAACACCAATTCCGCTGACCCCATCCACTCGAACCAGAATGGTCCTCCCTGCTGCGCAAGCCGCCGCACCGGACTCACTGGACTCACCGGACACGCCGGATTCGCCGGACTCACCTGACTCACCGGACACGCCGGACCCACCGGACCCACCAGACCCACCGGACCCACCGGAGCCACCGGACCCGCCGGACCCACCGGACTCACCGGACTCACCGGACTCACCAGACTCACCGGACCAGACCTGCGGCCCAGACCTGCGGCACTCACCAGACTCCCGAATCCGCCAGACCGGCCAGACTTCCCAGACCCGTGGGGAGTGCAGTGGAGCACTCGTGCGCACCAGCTTTGTGAATGCTCTTCGTGGGATGCGATGCTTGGCGATGGATTACATCAGGAAAAAAAGCGAGGAGGACGACAAAATCAATGTAGTTCGTGAGAATAATGAGAAGGGAACAGATAGAGGGCGATGCTCATGTTGACGGCGATAGAAATGGTTATGCTGGGGTGTATCGTTTTTTGCAATGATATGGCGGAGGTGCCTGCTCATGCTAGTGGTGATGCGGTTGACGATGCAGGTACTGATGACGCTAATTGTGACGATGTTGAGGACGATGACGATGACGCTTCACACTGTGATTATGATTATACACCTCAAAATTGATGATGCTGATGGCTTGATTGTTGCTGATGGCGACGTTCACGATGATGATGACGATGATGGTCTGGATGCGGATTTTGATGCTGATGGGATGCTGACGCTTGCGATGATGGAAACCCTCCTTGGACTTTCTTGAAAGCCCCTCGGGCCATTTTGGAGCTCCCCTGTGTCGTCTTAGAGCCCTGTTGAGAAACTCTTAGGCCGTCTTGGAAAGATCTTGAGGGCATCTTCGACCGTCCTGGACGTTGTCAAAGCCCGAAAGACGAGTATGCTAAACATACCAGTTGTCGTAAGGAGCTGTGACAATGCTTGCCTCTGGGGGGGCCCTCTTGAGAGTGCTCTTCGTCGCCTCTTGGGTTGTTTTGAAGACGTCTTCAGCCGTCGGGGGCCGTCTTAGACTTCTCGGAGCCATCTTTCGGTTAATCGGGGCCCTTTTCAACCGTCATGGAGGTCGCCCTCTTGGCCCCTCTTAGAGCCCATATTCATCCTGATGGGCTTTCGCCCATCCCGGTCAGAGTCCTCAGGGATTCTTCTTCGGGTCTCTTCCGAGTGCTCTCAGGACCCTCTGAAGGCAATTTTGAGGGATCTTGAGAGCCTCCTGAGGCTTCTTGGGTGCCTCTTCGAAGCCTCTTGGCGCTTCCTGGGACCACCGGCTCCAGCAGAACAGGAGGCGCCGGACCCACCAAACTCGCCGGACCCACCGGACTCACCGGACCCACCGGACCCACCGGACCCACCGGACTCA